GATGGTGGTGATGTTCGTAGTTGGAGTTATAGTGGTGAGGATGTTAATGATGATGATGGCAATGATGAGGTTAATTATGATTGTATGGAAGCTCTGGTTGATGTAAATGTTGAGTGTGATATAGAAGAGGAGGTAGGAGATGAAGTTGGTAATGTTCAAGTTGATGTTCAATGTGATGGACCATCATGGACTCAAATGTCCGATAGTGATGTTGATGATGGAATAAATAGTGTGATGATAAAAGTTTGTCTGATGATGAATGTGAATCCAATGAATTAGACAGTGCAGCAGAAAGTGATGGTGAAGATGATGAAGACGAGGGTTATGGGAAGTTTGTAACATTCTCTATGCCTAAGACAATGGTAGATTATAAATGGGATCTGGGCACTTATTTTGCTGAGAAGCAAGACTTTGTGGATGCCATAAAAACGTATGCAATACAAAATGGCAGAAATATTAAATATGTTAAAAATGATAAAAAGAGAATTAGGGTAAAATGTATGGGTGGTAAAGGAGCATGCCCCTGGATGGCATATTGTGCTTATATGGAAGTCATTAAAACTTGGCAACTAAGGACTATTGTTGACAACCACAGCTGTAGTAGAGAGCACAAAGTAAGATTACTTAATTCAAAATGGCTTAGTAAGAGGCTGAAAAAACTGTTAGAGAAAATCCCAAAGTAAAAGGAGTGGAAATTCGTGAGAAGATAAATAGAAAATGGAATGTAAGTGTATCTAGATGCATGGCTTATAGGGCAAAGGCCATTGCTTTAGACAATGTTGATGGGTCTTTCAAAGACCAATATAAAAGGATTTATGATTATGCGAATGAGCTCCTAGGTCGTAATGAAGGATCCACAGTGAAAGTCAAAGTTGAAGATACTGGCAGTGAACCCATTTTTAAAAGGTTTTATACTTGTCTGAAGGCCTGCAAGGATAGTTTTGTGTCCTGCATGCCAATTATTGGGCTGGATGGTGCTTTTTTGAAAGGAAAATATGATGGTGAATTATTAACAGCTGTTGGTAGAGACGCAAATGATCAAATGTTACCTCTTGCGTATGCCGTGTTGGAAGTAAAGAACAAGGATACTTGGAAATGGTTCCTTGAACTTCTGGTTCAAGATCTTGGTGGGGAGGCAGTGAGTTCATCATTTACATTCATGCACGACCAGCAAAAGGTAATGCACATGACCTTTTCCCCCATTATGTTCATTAACATTCTTATTGAAATAATATTTCTAACAACACTGTCATTATTCTGATTAAACAGGGACTACTGCAAGTTGTACAAGAAGTGGTTCCTGGGGTTGATCAACGTTTCTGTGTTAGGCACCTATACGCAAATTTCAGAAAAAAAAATTCCCTAGAAAACATCTCAAGCGTTTGATGTGGAAGGCAGCATCAGCAACCGATCCACAAACATGGGAATCAGAAATGAGAAATATAAAACAACTCAATGACGAGGTGAGGCTTTCAAATACTTGTTAAAAATTCCTGCCAGGTTTGTATTTATACTTCTTTTCTTTAATATTTGAACATGGTTATGTGACTTGGGTAGATACTGGAAGACTTAAATGTTCATTATACTTAAACAATATAGATACTGGTCAAGATCAAGATTTAGCAGCACACCCCAATGTGATACTTTGGTCAACAACATGTCAGAGGCTTTCAACAGTGTTTTGGTGCATACAAGGTCTAAGTCAATCATAAGCAGTTTGGAGGACATTCGCCTTTACTTGATGAAGAGATGGGCAACTAACAGGAGTAAAATACAATCATTGTCTGGGGACATTTGTCCTAAAATCAAGAGTAAGCTAAACAGGGAGTCTCAGTTAACTAAACATTGGATTCTGAGGTAACCTTTACTCAATTTTCTTTATCATTTGTGTTAGTATGTGAACTTTTTATTCTTTATTAATTTCCTTCTTTTTACTTTACAGTTGGTCAGCAAACAAGGTTTTTGAAGTTCGCCATGTGTCCCAAGCTGGGGACAAGTTTGTAGTGAATTTAGATCAAAATTTGTGTACATGCAGGAAGTGGGCTATCACTGGCGTACCATGTTGCCACTCCTTGGCTATTATGAAATTCCTAAATCTAGATGTAGAGGACTTCATACCATGTTGCTTTAGGAAGTCAACATATGAATAAATCTACCCTTCAATTGTCCATCCAATAAATGGTAACAAGATGTGGGAGATTACCCCATATGTTGATGTCCTCCCTCCACCAAAAAGAATATTGCCTGGGAGACCAAAGAAGAAGCGAAGGTTGGAGCAATAGGAGTTGGTCAAGGACGAAAAAAGAATGAGGAAGGGTGGTTTAAAGAAAAGATGTGGCATTTGTAAGGACTTGGGCCACAACAGAACCTCTTGCACCAAAGCAACCCAGACATGTGATGTGAACTCTCTCCAAACACAAGATACTAACCCATCAACTCAACCAATGATGCCATCATCAAATCAGGATGAAGTTGTAGGTGAAGGGGATAAATGATGAATTGTAATGTTTAGACAATTGTATAAGTCCTATGACCAACATTTTGATGCGTGTGAGATAATTTTGTATAACACAACACTTTGTTAATCTTTAGACAATGTTAGTGTTGTTTTATCACTGCTTATTGTATCCTCTGAACAAGTGCAAACTGTGGCTTGTGCCATGAAATATTTTGGATTCACTGCATATTGAATCTTTCTTGTTGCTTATGACAATCACTATTTATGTCTCAGTTGTTATTAACCATTTATGTACAGTTTGTGACTATGTACAGCTTATGACAATGATTTATTCATATTTTGGATTGATTAACCAATATGAAAGTGAGTGAAGTATACTGCTTATAGTTTTATTTCAGAAACAGGAAACCAAAAAGACAAATATGACAAATGACAAATATGAGAAACAGGAAACCAAATATGAAAATGACTAAATCTAAAGCCTGACAAATCACAATTGCGTATTGGTAACTTTTTTAAGTTCAATTCGTAAAGTGAAACAATGTATCTAAAGCCATGTGAACATATCAGATTCTTACTCAAACACAACTCTCTTTAGTCATATCAGATTCCTACTCAAACACAACTTTCTTTAATCATACCAGATTCCATACCATATAAAACCAATATACGTACCTCTCTTTAGTGATAAAAGATTCCATAACCAGAATTCAATTTCTTACTCAAACACATCAAACAACTCTCATTTTCATTAAAATGGAATAAAGGTACATCACTCAAAGACATCATCCCATTCTCATCATCATTGAAACTAAAACTGTGTTTATTACTAATAAAACACAAACCAAAATGATGAACACCTTCATCCACTTTTCAACAATGAAGACACATTTCTGTAACTTAACTAACATTTTCCTAATATTATCCATTTCTTCACTGTTCAACAAACTTTGTTTGTTTCCTTCACACTTCAAGCACGTCCCCATTTCATGTTCCGCAACATCACTGCACCATTTGAAGTAGTTGCAACCACCGTCTTCAGTACCACTCTGTAAACACAACAATCTATTCTCAAAAACAGTTCCACATAATACATAGTTGAAATCGATCATACCTTATACTTCGAGCTTCCCCAAAATTGCTTCCCACGATTCTTCATAGTTTTAGTAGTTCTCCACGCACATCACTCTCCATAGTGAGAAATCGGTGAACACACATTAAGGTTCTCCTTCCGCCACACATTGCAGCTCGACGAACAACATGAATGATCCTTGGACATCGTCTTAGAACAAGTTCGTTCAGCACCAACCTGCGTCGCACAGAAACACCTTCCAACAATAAACTAAACAAGGTCCAAGACCAACATCGCTCTCCTCAGGCACACATTTAAATTAGGGATTTGAGTGTTCCAATTTAGGGATTTATTGAAATCCCAATTAATTTTGATTTTGTTTCCCCAAATAATGTTGCGTGCTCACTCAGTTAAACGTTGCGTTTTATTCATTTAATGTTTTTTAATTTAAGCGTTGCGTTTTCAATGATTAAGTAATTCAATGGAAGTTATCCAACTCAGTACACCATACTATGCCACGTTAGTAAAACTTGTTAATTTCACCCTGCCACACTCAACATTTTTAAACGCCGTTTACCCAAATTAATGGCAAGATCTTAATTGATCAAATTTTTCATCTTTAGGGACCTAATTGAGAGATAAAACACTACGATGACCTAATTGAAAAAATTCTCCAAAAATAAAGATGTTCTAAATGATTAAACCTAAGTTTTTTAGCAAAAGAAGAGAAAAATGAGGTTAAAAGAGCTAAATAAAATGATAAAAGTGTAACTTTTAATAAATTTATATCTAATTTGTAATATTTGTTTGATTAGACATGCAAAATGAGTTTAAATTCGTAACGTGATGTTCAAACTGGATTGAGGAGTAAAAGTAATTTTTTTTAAAATTGGATCAAATTAAACTTGTAGATTAAATGGCTTTGATCCGTAGGTGATTTGACCATCACCATTATTTATTAATTCTTTTATAAATTTTTATTATAATTATTTATTACTTGTAATTATACAAATCAATAATATAATTAATTTTGGAAATTAAAATGTTACTCAATAACATTTAAATAATTTGGATGTTTATTAACTTTTTTTAATTAAATTAGATAGGTTTCAATTATAATAATATTTAGTATAAAAATGAAAGTATTGATTTTAACAAATATATAAAATAAATTTAAAAAAAAAAACATAAGTCGTATATAATTTTATGACTCACGAAAAAGTAAACTTCATTAAACTGATTCATTTTAATTTTAACTTTGAATTTGTGGTGAGACAACTTATACTAATGAACTGATATGGCTCACTTTTAACACCTGATCATATATAATTAATACAGTTATATATTTGTTATTATATATTTTATCATAAGGTTATAATAATAATAAATAATATAAAAAAAATCAAAATGCTACAGTCCAACTCTGAAACAAAGTGATATTTTGGGTGCCGGTGGACTGAAGGGCATAAAATCTGAGTGACATTATCTTGAGTTTCTGAGATATTTAGACTGAATGGCCCCACCAATGTTCTTGTCTTAGAAATATCTTCCATTCAGCAGTGACTGTCTTTGCATATATTGTTGATCCTGTAATGCTTACTGCATTATCTCTTCAGCTCAAATATTGGTGAAACATTCTATTGGTAGAAATGGAGACTGAGTTGGTGAAACGCAGAATTCACATGATCGCAGCCCACTTTGCTTCCAAGGATGATACTTCAGCTACCCATGTTCTGCCAATGGTAATAATACACTCTGCTCTTTTCTTTCTTTCTTTATTTCCATTAACACTCTTTTATCTTCTTACTTTGCTCATAATAATGGAATTTTAATCTTCATGTCACTACCTTTGAATAAATTCTGAAATTTCACTTACAGAATGTCTGGTTTTCTATGGTTTCATCAACCTAATATTGCATATTTTCATGTATGTTCTTTTAATAGACCACTATATTTGTTTTGTAGCTTCTGGTTTACAACTTCTGATAATCTGTATGTACTATCCTTGTTTTTCTTGAATATATATGTTCACCATCAGAACTGCAGTGGCAGTCTGAATTCTGTGCTCAGGAGATGCGATAATAAGGTGTATTTTGCACGCCAAGCATCTTCTTCTCTTGGTTATTTTATGAGGCAAACTTCAATCGAAGAGGTACTTAATGTGTTCTTATTGTTTTGAAATACTCCACAATGTTCTATTTACTTCTCTTTTTGGTGAATGATTCATTTCTCACTGGCTTCTTTGATACAAAATTTTTCAGGGTGGCTCAACTTTTGCTCCTAAAACTCATCATGGTGTTGGTGCTTCATCTGAATGCGCTTCTACTGCAAGAGCACCATGTTTTGCTAGACCTGCGGTGGCAGAATCACTCTCAAAAAATTCAGTGGTCCAATCACTGACTCCGGAGCAGGGCTTTGATACACTTGAACCACCTACATTTGCCAGGCCAAACAGACAGACTAGAGGAGATCAGTTGCCTTCTGAGAAGAAAACGTGCTATTCTGAAATTGGTGGTTAGCACTTTTGAGCTCAGAAAGTTATTTGATGTTATGTTAGATGATTAGCTATAACAAACAGAAGCATATAAATTATTTGAATTATTGGTGAAACTTCTTTTATGGTGTCTGTCAACTGCTAAATAATGATTGTCAATTGTGCAGGAATTGAGTGGTCTCCAAGGATGGATGTTGCAGAATCAGAAAGCAAATATGTGATCACAGTGGAAGTTCCAGGTGTGAGTATCAGTGACATAAGAGTGGAGGTTGATGATCTAAAGTAAGAAGCATATCTTATACTAATCATTTTAATCTTTGCAATTTATGGTACTAAGCATTTAGTTCTGCTTAATCAATAATAGTAAGGGAATGTTGAAGAAAAGGATAAGGCTTAATAAACTATTGTTGGATACTAGTTTTATTGAAAGTCATTATTGTGTTTTTTTGGAATGGTTCTTGTTGGGAATCCAGAAATGAAAAGGTAGAGCACTATATAAAGGTGATGAAAGTCCCATTAACTCATTACCTTAAGATTTTGGACAGATAGTGGTGTCAATCCATTTATATAGTTGGACTCCAATGTTATTGGTGTTTGTGTCTTCCCGGTTAAACTCCTCTTCCTTAAACCCAACGGTTCTTTCATTTGTTATGAATGTTTTGAAGTACATGAGCTGTTTTCATTCTGATAAAAGAATGAATATGTGAACTGTGACAGGTTGTGTGTGAAAGGTAGACGCTCTACAAGCTCTTGGACAATTTCTAGTTGTCCAAATGCTTCATTTTCTTCATACCATCGGAGGGAAATATTGTATGGACCATATGAGGTGGTGTGGCAACTTCCTTCTGGTGTGAACAAGGACAGAATATCAGCTGAATTTTTGTGAGTTATATCTGTGTTTCTTAATGTTAACTCATGAATTAAAAACTCTTCTAATTTGGTCTATTGCATTATATGATTAGTACTTTTTTTAGTAGTTTTGGTTATTGGATCACTAAATCATTATAGTAACACAAGATGGTGTGTTAAATTGTAAGCTTGAAATTCAATTAAATAACTGAGAAATCCATTGAATACCTAATGTTCTTGGCTAAAATGGCAGTTAGATCACGATGGTATTTTAAGTACAGAAAAACTGAATCTATGCCAATGTTAATGCTTTGTTTGGCATCTACAGCACTTCCATGGATTTATGATTCATAGATTTTTCAATCTCAATGCAGAAGCTATATGATTTATAACATCTACTTAGAAAATACCTTTTTATGCAGAAGCAGTATGTTATGCAGAGGTTCAAGTATATGTGCTTTACATTTATACATTTGAAGCTGATGATTTGTTGTTTCTTTCTCCATTTTCAGGGATGGACTTCTACAAATCGTAGTTCCTAAAACTATAGTATGAGTGAGAAACATTGATTTATAGCACATATATGTGTAAGTAAGTATATATGCATATACCTACAGAAGCAAAGGGTATTCTGCATCAGTTATGCCCTGTATATTGTAATAATGTAATGAACAGATATTGAATTTCATATACAATTTTATTGCTAGACAGAAAATTTAATCAAATTAAGTATCTTTTTATTTATAATGAGTAGCTGGAGATTAAAAGTTAAAACTCTCTTGAAATTAATTTTCAAGATCGAGTTATCAGTATGAATGTCAAAATAAAGAAATATTAGATTTTGGAAAAAATTTATTCATAAAAATTGAACACAGAAAAAAAATTATAATAACTTAGATACCGTGCTTAACTTGCAGAACTAGATTTCCCCCACAATTTTGAAGCTTACTTTTATATTTATATACTATGTTTAACAAATAGTTTATGAATCAATAACAGTTACCTTTTATAAATATTACAATAATTACAGTGATATAACCGGCTTTTTTGGTTTGAAAATTTAATGTGGTCAAAGTTTTCTTTTTTTCTTTTGAACAAAATAATATGGTCAAATCAAGTACATTTACTGTATTCAATGTTATTCAATATTAAACATAATGATTTTTTTAAACTCAAGCTACAAATAAAGGTGCACAATAAGGCAGTTTTATTATGAAACTGTCACTTTCATCCCTGTTTTATTAACACAATATATTATTGTTAATCTAATTACTTTCTTTATTTTTTTATGATAATTCAAATTTTCTGAAAATTTTCCTTGGTAAATTTAATCCTATGGCCTAACGTGAATTTTCAAATTCCTTTACTATTCAGAATTTAAGTGG